TTTCAGCTTTCAAACGGTTACCAATGAGGGCATTTATTAAGGTGCTTTTGCCGGATCGAGTGCTTCCTAAGCAAACAGCAGCATCTTCGTATTTGGCGTTTGTTGTCATATGTTTCGAAGCATCAAGGAGAGCTTCTACTAACTTATTCTCTACATCATCGGGTGTTGCGACGTTCATGACGACTGAATAAAAAAAATTATGGTTATTATTAAGTTATAAAACATGAAGATATCGATTACTCCGAGTCTTTGACTCGGAGTGATTGCTTTCTTTATGTTTTATAATAATATTCTTATATTACTACAACTTGCTACTTTGTTACTGTAACTTCTTCAAAAATAATTTTCATCATTACGATTATTCATTTCTAAAATTTTCCACTAAAATTCTTCTTTAACAGCATGTGATTGTTAGGCTCTCAATTGGTAATTTTTTCAACCACTTTTCTCTTCAAATATTTAATAAATTGAGCTGAAATTTTGTACAAAAGTCTAAAATACAATAAAGAAGGGCAGTGATGTGCAAAAGTTTTAATACTTTTTAAAATCAATTATTACAAATTACTTTAAAATTATCAGTTGTCACGGTCACTTCTAATCAATTTCACGTCGTTACCGATTTCAAAGTGTTTTATTATAATTTATTTTTTAATTATTAAAACTTTTACACATTACTGCCCTTCTTTATTATATTTTAGACTTTCTTACAAAATTTCAGCTCAATTTATTAAATATTTAAGGGGACTTTCTGGTTTAAAATTGACAAAAAAGGAAGGTTTTAAAACTTTTATTGTAAGAACAGTATTAAAGAAATTGTAAAAACTATTTTTGGACATTGTAGCACATTGCGTAGAGAAAATTTAAAAAATATGTTTGAGTGTATTTAGTTCAATTTCATAGCTGTAGGTGGCGTCTTCCAAAAGATACCTTTTTTTGGTACGTTAGATTCCGGGCAACCTGTAATACATAAATTCAAGTTCCAAACGGGAATCTCTTCATAAGGATTTATTCTTGTGCCTAAACCTCAAAAACGATTTTTTTAAAAGGTTTTTTTATTTTATATGTACATTTTTCTCAAAAACTCGCAAAAACGCCGTGTTTTTAGGTCAATTTACCTCCATATAAAAACACAGGCGGTAGAAATATGAGTTTTTAGAGGTTTAGGCACCAGTTTTTTAAATAAAGAATCGAAAAATTTTTGGGATTTCAAAATCGGTTCGGTAGATTTCGAGAAAAGCTCTGTACCAGTTTGAAAAATGAGTTTTCGAGAAAAACGCGTTTAAAGTTTTCATAACATAATTCATTGAGTCATGAATATCAAACAACTTTTTATTACAACAGAACTTCGTATCCCGCTGTTTTTGGGGTCGCTGATTACGAATTTGATGTCCGTTTTGGAAAATCCAAAATGGCGGATCCAATATGGCGGACGAAAAAATAAAAATTCAACCGGATTTGCTTAAAACTTGCTACTCGGGGGTTTTTGGGGTCGCTGATTACGAATTTAATGTCAGTTTTTGAAAATACAAAATGGCGGATCCAATATGGCGGACGAAAAAATAAACATTCAATCGGATTTGCTTAAAACTTGCTACTCGGGGGTTTTTGGGGTATTTAAAACGTTCCTAGAACGTTAATGTTTTGTGCCTATATTCATAACTAGCAATCTCAAAAGGCCACAAGTAACCAATTTCAACTAAATTTAGTTAATTTCTTAATCTTTGTCCGCCATATTAGATCCGCCATTTTGTATTTTCAAAAACTGACATCAAATTCGTAATCAGCGACCCCAAAAACCCCCGAGTAACAAGTTTTAAGCAAATCCGGTTGAATTTTTATTTTTTCGTCCGCCATATTGGATCCGCCATTTTGTATTTTCAAAAACTGACATCAAATTCGTAATCAGCGACCCCAAAAACCCTCGAGTAACATGTTTCAAGCTAATATCAATAAAAGAGGAACACCAAATATGTAAATAAGATAGTTATCTTATTTACATATATTTGGTGTTGTTGAAATACATACCGTCATAAATATTGTTATAACTTTTGTTTTTGTACATATTTTTTAAAAATCGTTTTGGGACAGTAATTCTATGATACTAAGGAACATTTTTAAGCAAAAAAAAATCGATTTTTTTGAAATTCTAAACCAGAAAGTCCCCTTAAAGAGAAATGTGGTAAAAAAAATACTATTGAATGTCTAACAGTCACATGCTGTTTTAAGTCAATTTTTTAAAAATAATTTTTGAAAAAGTTCTTTCTAAATTTTTAAATTCCTTTGTTTACAATTTAATTTTACGAAATTTCGTTTATTCTGACATTCTTTAAGTAAATATATTAGAAATTAAAAACTTTAAAGAGTTTTAAAAAATTCTATTAAACATATATTGAGAAAGATTATAATTCTATAGAATTCTTAATTAAAAGTATGAAAGTTCAAATTTTCAAAGATTTTAATTTGAAATTCATTTTTAAATCAATATAATTATTAATTAATTTAAGAATTGTCATTTTCAGCCTCAACAAAAGTTAAAGTAGCAAGTTTCGATTCTGTAATTTAAACCAAATTTTTTGAACAGTTATAAATATTACATTAACGAAATTCATAGTGGTCGCGCAATTAAAGTGATATATTTCACATAAAAGACGTTTTTCGGCAGAAATAAAAAAAATAAAATTTAAAAAGTAAAATTTTTCAAAAAACAATTTTTTGCAAATTTTCCATTTAATGATGATTAATTTGTTAGGGACAAGTATTGTTTCGTTACTTTTACAATTATGAAACTCAAACGAACCATAAATTTCACTATAAGGTCACGTTTAATAAAGAAAACTTTTTAAATTAAGCAAAATACAGAGAAAAGTGAGTTAAAATGAAAAAATGACATTTTCATTTCGCCAAGAAAATAAGAATTTGCTATTAATATATTATTTTATGACTCTGTTCTAGCAGTTAATGCATTGGTCAAGTTAAGAAAAATAGTTTTATGCCTATTTATTTAACATTTTAGAATTGTTCGAAGGTAAAACTTGGGCTAAAGGTTTGGGACACTCATGACATAATACAACACTCATTACATTCGTTGGGAAAAAATATTCAACCCATTTCAATTAAATTGTTATGTAATATTGATTCTCCAACAAAGTTTATGTGGTGAAAATTTTTTATACAAGTTTGTGTTCATTTTTATTTTTATGCAAAGCAAGAATCTAAACTGAACTTTAGGGATATTCATATGTACATAAACAAAAAAAATTTTTAATTCTAATGCAATTGACATAAAACTTGTTACTCTGCGGTTTTTGGAGAACTGATTACGAAACTGAAGTCGGATTTCAAAAATTCAAAATGGCGAATCCAATATGGCGAACGAATTTTGTAAAACTCTTAGAATTCAGTTGAAACTCGTTACTCGGGGGTTTTCGGGTTCTACAAAATTCTTTCGCCATATTGGATTCGCCATTTTGAATTTTTGAAATCCGACTTCAGTTTCGTAATCAGCGAGTCCAAGAACCCCCGAGTACAAAGTTTTAAGTCAATTGCATTATAATTTAGAAATTTTTTTTGCCTTTTTCACATCCTTTTTTTGAAAAAAAAATTAGTATCAATTGGCTAATATGGCCAAAACACCCCCGATTCGACTAAAATCGACAAAAATATAATTCTTATTTATGAAAATATATATTTTAATTATTTAAATCAAAATCTCAAATAGCCAAAATATAAGCCTTAGGTGACCTCCTCTTTTGTGGGACACTCATGACATTTTGCTCATTTTTGCTTATATCTATGAACAGGTTATATTTATATCGACAATTCTGGTCTCATTCGAAAGATAATTCAAAACTATTATGAATTTTATTCTGATATTGAATATTAAATATTAATTTACCAATTTTTAAGACGGGACACTCATGACAGTTTTCTAATTACATTAAAATCTTTTCGTTTCTGCCACAACGTAAAACTTTCACATTTGGAAACACGGCATTCAATTTTTTTTTGAGTTGATTCGTCGTTATCTTCTGCTGCGGATTCGTCAGTAAAACACCTTTTTTGCTCCCTGGATAAATCTTTAAATACGCATAAATACAAAATTTTGCATTCCAAGTAAAATAATGTAAAAGTGAGGGACACGTCATTCTTATTTTTTTAGAAGGGTTAAACAATTAAATAAAGTTATCAGCAGTTAATTTTCCTTACATATGTAAGTTATAGTTCACTGCAAAATTTTTGTTTACTTGTGATAAATTAATATAACGAAAATACGTGCACTTGAAAACTAATAATTCACTCCTGGACATGGGACACTCATGACATTTTGCCTGCATTTCGTTCTGCCATTATTATACATAGCATCTTTACATGCTTGCAAGTTGAAAAAATGTTAAAAGAGATTGCATTTCACGATATTGGAAAATAAATTTTACCAGAAACTATAACAAATAGTTTTTATTGGCAAAGGACACGATTATGACAATTTAAATGAAATGACCCACATATTAGTTATAGGACTTTATTTTTTGCTAAGTTATGCTATAATGTGACTAAATAACATGTAATACTCAAGTATAGAAACTTTAAAAGCAATCCACGAAAAATAAAAAATTTTGAAATCTTTGATTATTTGAAGTTTAAATAAACCCCTTAGCCCAGCAGTGACCGAATTATTGATTTGACGTTGAAGTCGAAGTAATGCAGTACTTAAAAAAACAGAAATGTGCCTCGCAATAGAAATTATGTCTTTGAATGAACTTGACTAAGACGAGACTTGAAGAATGCACTTGGTACTTGAAAACATTTTTGGAACTGGTGTCGAAGAATAAACTCGATGACAATACGATTGGGGTACAAAATGTCCAAACCAAAATGGCCAAGACAAAATATCCAAACTTAAAGGTCCAAAAGTCAATATGTCCAAAGAACTAAAAATCCAAAAGTCAACATGTCCAAAGACCAAAATTCCAAATATAAAAAAGTCCAAATAATGAAATCAATTAATTGTATAAAAATTCATATTCATTTTAAAGATTTAAGTACATGTAGTTTAAAAAAGATTAAATAAATTCAAAAATGCAAATGGCATCCAAGAGTCTTTAAATAATCAATTTTCCGATTGTCGTCTACATATTGCTGGTATTGCGACACAATACTTAAAATTCGTTCCTCAATGGTGTGAAACTTATTCGTCTGCAATTTACGTATTTTTTGACCTAGATTAAGCTGCGTTTGCATACACTCCGTGTCCCCTTGTTCCTGCTTTAATTCCTTTAAAAACGTGTACAGACTAGGATGGTATCGTCCAACAACGACTTGTAGCCTATTGTGCCATCCTTCTGAAGCGTTATTGGTACGCGCCGTTTTTTGTATTACTGCGTTATATTGATTCCATAGCGCAGGATCATATCGTGCAGGTATAGCCCTTCTCCTACCTCTCGCTGGCTTGCCACGAATATACGTAATCTAACAAAAAGAATATTTATTATTATTTTTATTATTATTATTATTATTTTATAATATTAAAAATTGACATTTACCTCAAAATATTCAGCTACTGAAACAAATTCTTGTGGTGCTTGATCTATAAACAGATCAAAAAACTCAGGTACATCGTCAGAAGGTACAAAAGCGAGAGCGCACATAGTCCTCATTGCCTCTCGAATCCTTGCATCATTATTACTGTTGTACATTTCTTGTAGTCCTTCGGATTGTACTCGGCGATAAACGTTTTGGCATAAATGAAATAAGCATAAACGCACTACATTGCCAATCTTCGCTTCCGCTGCATTTATTATTCCTAGTTCGAAGTCCGACATAACTGTTTCTGGGTATTCAATTTGGATTCCTAAAAGTTGTGCCTTAGATATGACAATTTCAAAAATTTTTGCATATGCATCTTCGGATTTACTTTCAAGCAAAGCATAAACTAGTGGAAGCGCTACATTTCGTTCTATCCCTCGAGAAACTTGTTTCATTGTGCCCATTATGACAAACAACTGATAAAATATTGACGGTACAACCTTGAACGTCCCATCAACAAACCAAGTTATACTACGAAAAAGCGATTTTAAATTTTCTTTAGTTGCAAATACAATTATTCTGCCACAGGATAAACTGTATGAGTCATCTTCGTAAGAATCGTAAAGTAAGAAGTTCTCACCATCGTTAGTGTTTCTATATAAATCAGGTATCTCTTTAAGATCTTGAGCAGTCAAAGGGTTAGATGGCATTTCTTTCATACGCTCTCTTTGTATTTGTTTTACAGCATTAGGTCGCTCAGGCATTTTTGCTAAAGTAGCAGGAGGAATTTTTTGTAATAGTCTTAAAATTCTTGCAGGAGGGCACTCAGGTTGATCTACGGCAGCTCTTTTCAAATTACTCACTTGTCTAAGAGCATCTACCTCCTCTCGATCGGGTGCGTGACAATGAGAGTCATCTGATCCTACTGAGATAATTGAAACTGAGTTTCCGGTACCAATAGTTGTTGCTTTGGCACCACACTGTTGTCTCTTCCTGCACCGCCAATACACTTTTGAATTAACACCAGTAGAATGCTTCGTAAATAAAAATCCATTTACGTGCAGGTAACGAGTTTTACCTTTTGTTATAATTTCACAATTAATATTTTCACAAGCAGTATCCATCATTTTAATAAAAATTTAAATTTTTCAGAAAAGTAAATTTTTGAAGGCACAAGTAAAGACCGAGCGAGTCTTTATCTCATTCAGTACTAAATTCAAAATACAGTTTTAATAATGGACTAATGTTTCAAACTACTATGATTCACAGCTATTGTTTTCTTTCCTTCATTCAAAATTATCAATTAGTATAATTATCACGTCATTCTATTATAATAAGTATTTCAATTTTCGATGTTAGATAGAAATTTACAAAACTGAAATAATAAATAATAGAAATATAATTAAAAAATAATTTTAAATGTTATTTGCATGTACAATTTTGGACTTTTAATACAGCGGACATATTGTCATTGGACAATTAATTACTCGGATAATTTGTCTACGGACATTTAATTACATGGACATTTTGTCACTTGGACATTTTAATTCTTTGGACCTTTTGGATTGGTCATTTTGGCTTGGACATTTTGACCCGCTACCGACAATACACAACTAGTTAACTTGGTCGCGGTTGCTGGACTGACACGAAGAAGAAGCGAAGTTGATTCGGTGGTGACTTGTGGACTAGTTAAGTTGAAGGCGTTTCCTGGACTGACTATAGAACCAATAGAAAAATGACAAGATACACATGAACATATTTGGCATTTGCCATCCAGACAAAGACGCTCTTGGTGATCTATTATCTTTACTGCTTTGGCTTGACTTCGACAACTTGTCTAACACCCTGCCTACGGACTTTTTTAGAAGCCTTTCCTTCCACCTCTTCCTTTTGTCGACTCTGGACAAATTGTTGTCCTCCTGCATCTTCAGGTCTCTGGTCACCTTTCCCCTCTCCAGACGTTAGTGGGATTCAGCTGAAGCATTACCCCGAAGGTGTTCCTAATCGCTTTCTGTTTTCGATGTCCTTTAGTGAAAAGACCCGCCACCACGACAAGGTCTACTGAACATATCCATGATGCACATAATGTTTGTTCGAGGAAAACCGCGGTTCACATATCCATGACATCGATGATGTTCGGTAGTGGACAACCATTTGCGAAATCTTTTAGGACCCTTTCCTTAGTGTCCCAAAGTTTTCTTAAGTTTCTAGACATTGTCTAGAACAAACCCTAAGAAAGTTTGCCAAACGCAGTTCCCATCTGCAAACGGAAAAAATATTAGAGACAAATTTGTTAAATCATTTACTATTAGTTTAGTTTCTTGGAGGATTTTGAAGAACTTAGGGTGATAGTTGCACTGGGTGGGGAATAACGAAATACCGATTAGTCAATAAAATACCCGGTTATAATCATTCTTTTTTTTACTTAACCGGTTTTGTTCTCTCTCTCTCTGGTTCGCTCCTGAGTCTCAGGGATCCAATCGAACTAAGAATCCCATTAGTTTGACATTTTTTTATTATTTTGGTTTTTACAGTAGTAGTAACTTTATTGGATTCGCCCTTGAATTAATTTTCTGATTGACTTGTAACTTGTATCAAGACTAGTAAATACATATTTAAACATTCACGCTTGATTAACGTCTTTAATGATAAAATCTAGCTTAAAAATATTTGTTAAGATTAAAGTGGCAACTAGGCTAAACGAAAGACATTAATCGAAAAAAATGGAGTTGTTACTCCTAAAAAGCGCTTTAAAACTCAAAATTCAATTACTTATAATATAAAATACAATTTTAAATGATAATTCCAAAAAATGTTCGCTTTTTCATCAATATAGATTAGTACTTAGTTATCAGGAGCTATGTCACTGAATAATTAAAAAGCTTCTAGAAGAAAAATTGTGCAATAAAAAAAAGCGAAGGAATATATTTTTAAATGGTATTTTATATTATAATTAATTAAGGCTGCAATTTAATGAAATTTAACGGAAAATATGAAAGAATGGTTTTATGTCTGTGTACGAGCGCAATTTTCATGTTGTACGATAATTATTCAATTTTAATAATACCCATATTTTACAGCTTAGCATTTTATATTAAAACTTGGACTTTACTGGTAGTAAGTATAATTTTATGAACCACCTACAATGTCATAAACTATTTCAAGTAATCAAAGTACGCAGTAATTTTCAAGTTTTTATTTGTCGATCGTAAATCATTTTTCTCTAATCTTATTTTCTTTTTTCTATTACAATAATTCAATATTACAATATTGGATAATTAAAAAAATTTTTTTTTACTTTTACAATCGACAAATTTAAACCCATAGTTTTAAGGAGGAAACAACTGCTTTCGCAGCGATTTGTTTGCAAATGTGAAATTTTTTTTTCAAATCTCTGTTTAGAAAAAGAATGTGTACGATAAGTTACTATTATTATTTATTTTTATTATTTATACTTTCGTCGAAATCGATTGCAATTTATGTTTAGATAAATTGAGTCAAATATGTATTTTGAAAAAAATGTCAATCAAAGTTAAATTGTGGAGTAAGTGCAGAGTAGGGGAAAGTTAACAAATTTTAAAAAGAGAGATTTTTTAAATTTAATCTTTCGTTTTATATGTTAAATGTAAATTTAATATTTCCTTTTCATACATCAAATATAAATTTAACGTTTTTTAAATGTTAAATATAAAAACAGAAACAGATTTCATTGATTGTAAAAAATTCATACTGAGGAGGTCTTTCTTTGAAGGACGAAAGCTTTGTTATTGACATAGACGTTGTTCTCATGTCATTTTTTTAAAAACAAATATATAATTTTAGACCAGCAAGGAAAAAAAACACATTTATTACACCAAAAAAACTAACTTATTTTTTATCCCACATGCACAAAAACGGCGCTTTCTGATAGCAGTCGACAGGGAGGAAAGTCATTCATTTCTTCGATCGTATGAAAATGGCGGCCGTGTTCTCCCAAGGGCAAGAAAATTAGCTGTTCACATGCATTTTTCTTGCCCAAGGGAGAAGACGGCCGCCATTTTCATACAAATCGAACAAGTGAATGGCTTTTACTTCCTGTCGTCTGCTAACTGAAATCGCCGCTTTTGTGCATTAGGAATAAAAAATATCGTAAGTAACACGAGAATAAAGGCAGCCAATTTCTTTACGATGATTTTTGTGACACTCGTTCCGGTCTCGGGGCGCCCTCGACTTCCATTCGTGTCACAAAAATCACCGTAAAGAAATGGCTGCCTTTCTCCTCTTGTTGCTTAATATACTATTATTCTGGTCAACACCAATTTACATCTTCTTAAGTTAAATATAACTTTAACATTTTTTTTTCTCATGTCAAATATAAACTTAACGATTTTTTATATGTTAAATATAAATTTAACCTTTATTTTTCTCACGTTAAATAAAAATTTAACATAGAAAAAAGAATTTCGCAAGAGAAACATAATATTTTTTACAAAAATTTATAAACGAAATGAACTTTTCCCTATTATTTACAAAATATTTACAAAAATATTTACAAAATTTTTATAAACTAGCATTGATTAGAAAATGAAAAATAATTCCCGTAGACATCAAAATTATTAAAGGAGAATTAAAATGGAAAAAATGTATATATATATAATTCGAAGGATTATTAAATAAAGCCTTTGTCCGACGACGTAATCACACATACATCCAAGCATCACATTTATTTGTATTCTATTTATATACACGTCTGTTTTTAATAATTAAATGAGATCAATTCTGATAATTACCGTCTTTTTCTACGTACTATTATTTATATCCTTCTAATCAAACTATTTTATTATTTAATTACTTTTACAGATTGAGAAGCAAAAGGATTCAAATATATATTAAATTGGGATAGACTAGAAAATTAATTTCCATTGATCTTCATATGGTGTGTCCTTGCAGTGCAACTAACTAATTCTAATTCATATAGAAATAGCATCCAAACTTACTAAAGTATTTTATTTATAATAAACTATATCATAAGAAAAGATTTCTTTATATACTTGAAATTTTGTTAATTAATTATAATTCAACTTCAATTTGTTTATTTTTATAACTATCTTACGAATGAAAGATAAAAATTATCTTATTTAGTATTGCATAAAATTTGGAAAGAATAAAAGCGGAATTACCGAATAATTATTGGAGCAGATTTCTTTACTTTGGTAACAAAGCGACAAATTTTCACAAAAATAAAATATAATATTAAATTAGAGGAAAATTTATATTGCATAATATCATTCATAAAGTTATTACTATTTATGCCCACACAGCACGATAAATTTCCTGAATATGTCCTGAATATTTCGTTGAAATATTGAAATATTTCAATGAAAGGTTCATAACATGTTGATGAAACAGTGAAATGTCCGCCTAAAAGAAATATTGCAGTATTTGGTTGTATGAATATTTCAGTGAAATGTTCAGGAAATATAAGAATGAAAAATGACTGAAATCTTAATTTTAAATATTCGTGAAATAAGAAAAACAATATTTTACAAATTTTTAAGTGAAATATTTTTAAAAGATTATTTATATAGATTGTAGAAATATCAAAATGAAATATTTCTAATGTGTGAATAATACATATTAAAGCAATATTATCTAGATATATTTGTGAAAAATAAAAAAACAATAATCACAGAAATAAATTTGTGGTACTGATTGCAAAAATTATAAAAATTGTGTTTTTAGTTAAATCGTGATTATTAGAGGTGTGCAAAAAGTCCGAAACGTCGGGCCGAGCTCGAGCTTTCTCGATGTGTCGGGTACCCGAAAGATTTCGGGTATGTAAACAAGCTCGACCCGGCCCGAACAGACTAAGTCCGACCCGACCCGACCCGAAAAGTGAAAAGCCCGAAAAATTTATGAAATTTATGATTTTCTGTTTTAAATAATAAATAAAAAATATAAGTTGAACAGTTTTGCAAAATTCGATTTTTTGTTCTAGTTATTGTTAAATAAACTTTTTTGCATGATTTTAGAAAAGTTCTTTTTAATAAAGTAATAGGTAAAATTTAATGATTTTTGGTATGATTATATAAAAATAACACGGTTTTTGATTGACATTTTTCATTTTAAACTTTAACGTAATTTGATAAAATTATAAACAATTTATTTAAATAAATAAAAATAAATTCAACTTCTCGATCTGCTTGTTTATTTTTTAAAATTGAATATTTATTGTTCCTTATTTAATGCCCAAGTATTTCCAAAAATAAAAAATTGGTATCTTACATTTGTTCAAAAGATATAATTATAATTATGTTAATAACAATAAGCATTAAAAAATCATAAAATATTAAAAATGTTTTTTTAGCTTTATTAATTAAGAAAATTAATCAAAAAACTTATTAAAAGAATGTTTGAGTGTTTTTGATGTATGAAAAAAGTATGACAATTTATTAAATTATATAAACAATTAAAAAAAATTTTTTTTAATTTAATATTATTTAAACAATTAATTGTTGTAATTTTTTTAAATCTGTACTTAGGGCTACAAAATTTCTAGTTTTTTCTCAATAATTGTGCAATTTGTCAAGAGTAAAACATCTGGTAATGATGAAAAATAAAAAATAAATTAATTAAACATTGTTTAAATGATTAATTGTTATTTTTCTCATAAAGTGTACTTAGGGCTAGAAATTTCTAGTTTTTTCTCAATAATTGTGCAATTTGTCAAGAGTAAAACATCTGGTAATGATGAAAAATAAAAAATAAATTAATTAAACATTGTTTAAATGATTAATTGTTATTTTTCTCATAAAGTGTACTTAGGGATAGAAATATCTAGTTTTTTCTAAATACCTGAAAAATTAAATAAAAAAATAATGAAATAAATGTTAATAAATTGTTGAAACAATGGTTTAATAATAAATTTTTAGTTTTTCTATTATACTTAAGTGTTTAAGTTATAAAAAATGTCACAATTAAGAAAAAAGTAGGAATTTATAGTTTTAAGTACAGTAAATTGAAAAATTAATAGAATAATTTGTTTAAACAATGTTTAAATATTTAATTTTTTGTTTTTCTTTGATACTTAAATGTGGTAGTTACAAGAAAATGCACAATACAGAAAAAAACTAAAAATTTCTAACCCCAAGTACAATTTATGAAAAATGTAACAACAATTAATTGTTTAGACAATGTTTAATTAATTTTAATTTATTATTAGCAGATGTTATACTCATGACAAATTGCACAATTATTGTGAAAAAACTAGAAATTTCTAGCCCTAAGTGCAGATTAAAAAAAATAACAACAATTAATTGTTTAAACAATTTAATAAATTGTTATACTCTTTTTCATACATCAGAAACACTCAAACATTATTTAAATAGGTTTTTTAATTAATTTTGTTAATTAATGAAGCAAAAAAGGAATTTTTAAGATTTTAAGATTTTTTAATGCTTATTGTTATTAACATAATTATTTATGTCTTTTGAACAAATGTTAAATACCAATTTTTTCTTTTTGGTAATACTTGGGCATTAAATAATAAACAATATTCAATTTTGAAAAATAAAATAACAGATTGAGAAGTTGCATTTATTTTCATTTGTTTAAATAAATTGTTTATAATTTTATCAAATTACTTTAAGTTTTAATATGAAAAATGTTAATCAAAAATCGTGTTATTTTTATACAATCATACCAAAAATCATTAAATTTTACCTATTACTTTATTAAAAAAAACTTTTCTAAATTCGTGCAAAAAAGTTTGTTTAACAATATGTACAACAAAAAATCGAATTTCGCAAAACTGTTTAATTTGTATTTTTTATTTCAAACAGAGAAACATAATTTTTATGAAAAAATCTTGACCAACTGAAAATTAGTTGCCCACTTCACGAACTTTGTCCCATATATTTAAACAATAAGAATAAAAGTATAATTATTTTGAAAAATAAATTGTAAAAAATAAAAATTTTAATAAATGTACTTTAAAGTAATTCTTGCGTTTCTCTATTAAAAAAATTTATATTTCAAAACTTAAAGTTTCTTGTTAGCTTTGGGTACTTTTAAGACACAAATATCGTTCTCGTGAGTACGAGTTTTGTACAAACCTATTTTAAGTGTAGTACTTTAGTGTGGTCGCACATTTTTTGATAAATAAATTGTCACGATTTTACTGATTACACAATTTTTAAAAAATATTTTCACAATCAGTGCCACAATTTATTTCTGTGATTATTGTTTTCTTATTTTTC